ATCCCCGGTGCAAAAAAAAAAAAAAACACACAAAAAAAAGATATAAAGAACCATAAGAAGAATGAAGTATTGATAACATAATATGCTCTATGAAAGACATGGAGGCTATATACTGTACAGTTGCACCTGTAGGTAATATACAGAATACACTAATCTGTGGACACAGAAAGTAAGTTAGGTGTCGTGGGGGGCTTGGGAGGAGAGGTGTGAATGGGGGGTGACTGCCAAGGGGCAAGGTGACTTGGTCACGTCAAACAGCTGGAGTTGTAGTGAGGAGCTAGAAGGGACCAAGAAGAGAGTCAGAGGGAAGGGAGCCAAGGAAGGCAGACAGGCAGGGAAGAGGGACAATCCAGGGAATAAAGTCTCTCAATAGAGCAGAAAAATCTTTCATTTGCTAATGAACTATCAGACAGCAAATGCCAATTTGCAAAGGAGACTCCCGCTAGGGAGTAGCAGTAAGTACAATACCTTTGGAAATGGTTCAGACATAGTCACCCGTTCCTGCTCATATGCAAATCTCTAACTCTGGTGGTCTGCTCCTATATACAACCCAGCCTGGGTTTATGTGCCTGGGTTCTGTTCTGTCCTACTTGAACATTTACTAACTATAAGAATTGTTCCAGAGCTGCTGCAGTACCCAGGCTTGATGCTCTCTCTTAAATCTCCATGCAAACGGCTCTGTGGGCTCTTCTTGTCCCTCTGATGCCTATTCACAAACAAGAGAAGCTGTGTTCCCTTCTCCGTTCTCCTTTCCAGGAACTCTAAACGGCTGGGGAGGCCACCACCAATAGCAGGGCAGTAGGAAGGAAACCGATCTCTTTTGTTGAGGGGGAAACATGTGGCATGAGGGACTTGAGAGAGATATGGCTGTGATGTCCACTGACAGGACACTGACGCTGTAAAGCCCATTACCTGTCCTGGGCTCAGTGTGACCGTATGCCTTCGAGCTTTCTGGAATCGAGGAAAATGCTTTAAATCAGGATTGACAACATTGATTTTACTGAACACGCTAGATTCTTCATAAGGAATTCTAGTTGGATAAAGGAAAGGTGTATCTTCAGGAGGAAAGAGATGCCATCTTTTCCTAATGAAAAAATAGATGCAAGTTAGTACTCGGAACTTGGGATGAAACATGTAAGAAGGCAGGACCTAAACGCTCATTTTACTCATTTAAATTCAATCCCTAGAGGAACACACACCTGGTCTCCCATTCAATGCTGGAATCTCCTGAGCAGACAGCTGGTGGTGATTCGGGACCCCCACAAGCAGCACCTTTCATGGCTCAGGCAGGACCTAGTCTGCAAGATCATTCTTCCATTGTTCAAATCATAGTTTGCCCCCTCATACACTGTGTTTATCCCCGATTCTAGAGCTACCCAGAATACCCTCTACCCTTTCAAATATCTGCATTCTTATCCAGAATAGTTTCATCTGTCAAATAGCTTTCAGGCATCTTCTCTGCATGATAATTTTTTTTTGGAACCGGGGATCAAACTCGGGTCCTTGCGCTTGCAAGGCAGGCCACCGAACCACTGAGCTAAATCCCTGGCCCTGTGTTATAAATTTTTTAACTTAAACATTTGTTAAGTTAATCTAGGAAAAGAAATGCATAAATAATGGCCACATAAGTAAAAATGGTATAATCCAGAGTATCCAAAGGAAAAAACTGAAATATTTTAGTCAATTAAAAAGTTTTGAAAAATGGAAATGATAAATCTTAATTCACCAAACACTAAACACATCTCTATTTTATGCCAGCAGAGGGAGGTCATCTGAAGTGAAAGAGGGAGATGTGTAGAGAGACAGGAAGTCAGGGATGAGGAAGCAAAAAGAAAAAGAGAAATATGCTCTAGTTCTGAAAACTGAAGCACCATAGCCCTCTTGTGACTCCTGGCAGTTACACTGGGGCTCTCAAGTCCTTTCAGAACTGGAAAGCAGTGGCAATTTTCAAACTAAGAATTATGTGTCAAAGTTTTATTTTGCTTTGGAAACTGGAAGATTTTATAGAAATAACAAAATATTTTATCTTTAGTCTGGGAGGCCGAGGCAGGAGGATCTTAAGTTTGATCCCTGCCTGGGCAATTTAGTGACTTAGTAAGACTGTCTCAAAAGAAAAAAGGGGTTGGGGTAAGTGTTGGGGATGGAGCTCAGTGTGTGGACCTTAGGTAAACCAGTCTTACTCTTCTTGTGGGCGAGACAAAATACCCATTTCCAAAATTAAAGGAGGAAAGAAAGGTCTATTTGGCTCATAGTTTGTAGAGGTTTCAGTCAATAATCAGTCGGCTCCAAGGCAAGTGGCTTGGAAGAGGAAAAACTGTCCATGGCAAAGCAGGCACAGGGTAGAAAGCAGCAAGCAATGACGACAGCAGCAGCAGCCTGCTTTTTCTCTTTTATCTCTCCCAGGCTACCTGCCTTTTGGGTGGTGCCTCCTACACCAGGGTGGGGCGCCCTCCATCCCAGAATCACTCACCCTAGATCCAGCCACCTGGAAAAACCCTACCCATGACTACATAAGGCTTTGGGGAACATCTAGACACAAGCCACAATACACACACATTTATCTTAGAGAAATTTGCTTTGAAACTATGCACAACCTATCAGTTTACATAGCCATCAGCTAACAAAAGCAGATGGCTTCGCCTCAAAGTTTGGATATGACAGGACTGCTTCACTCCACTGTGCCTATGGCAGCCTGTAAGCAAGGCCTGGAAAGGCTCTGAAGAGGCCACTAGTCTGAGTTCGTTTCCAAGCAGTGGCAGAGAGACCTAATGCCTGCATCTCTCACCGGGTCCCACTGAGTAGGGGACCCAAAACCAAGAGGGAGACACAGATCTACAGGCTCTTCCAGATCCTGGCTCCAGCCCTTGACCACAGCAGCGTTTCTTAGAAGAAGAGTGATAACCACAGCCACCCCCTCCAATCTGCTCTGCTCTACTTCACATCCTGAATGTGTGTGTCCTTCTACCAGAAAAGAGACTCAGTTGCACCAGCCCCTGCTCAAAACCCCTCATGGTTCTGAATCCTAAAAGAATGGAATAAAGCAGTGTGTGCTCGGGAGTGGAGACCCTCAGGCCCCAGCCCGACTCTCCTGTTCAATCCCTCTGTCCCTGCTGCACAACTCACACCAGACTTTTCCTAGGGTCTTTGTACAACAAGCCCATCCTTCCTGCTTTTGGGGACCCGTCCACTCACCTGAGTCCTTGGAACACTGACACCCTTCAAAGCCCACCACACATGGCAGCTCCTGACACTCTCTTCCATCTTTCTGATGGCATGCTCTAGCCCTCTGGTTGGTCCTCAAAACATGGTCCTCGACCGCTATCCCAGCTGTCGGCTGACCTGCCTGCACCCCAGCTGTGCGTGCTCTTATCTGCCTCAGTACTACTCTACCACACTGAACCTGCAAAGGGTATCACTGAACTTAGCGCACTCCTCCAGAAAAATGTCTCTATCACAAAATCACGGCAAAGCGACACCAACTTTGCATCACAGAAAGAACTCTGGGTACTTTGGGTGATGTTTTTCCAAGGTGAATTTCTTTGGGTTTTTCCCCAATTCAAAACACATGGAAAAGGCCATTTAAAAACATGCCCCCATTTTTACCACATCTCAGGTTTCAGACTTTTTTCTTTCAGTACTGGGGCCTGAACCTGGGGTCTTTGCAATCCTTCTGAGGCAGGGTCTCACAGTTAAGTGCCAATGCTGGGCTCAAACCTGCGATCTGCCTCATGGCAGATTCTTAATTTGACAAGGGCAGAGTTCACACATACTCTGTTCACTGCTGCACCCACAGCACGCAGTGGGGGACCTGAGACATTCTAAGTCCTTTAACAGACTCAACAGCTCTAACCGCAGGCTCTCCTGTAGCACTCTGCAGTTCCGAGTGCCTCATGGGCAACATGGACACACATACATACTGACTGCTTCTCTTGGATTCATGCATGGTTTTTGCCTAACTGTTCTGAGAACCTGCATGTGGCCATTTCTAGTTTTCCCTTCTGTGATGCCCTGCAAATGTCCCAAAAGGCCAGGAGAGAAGACTGGGGCATTATTAACTTGGGTAACAAGGCTGCACATACAACATCTGGTATATCCTGTAGGTGGCATGAATCCTACCCTCTCAATGAACTCCAGGAATGAGGTCTACCAAAAGTATGGCTTTTACATCCCTGAGAATCCAGACAGAGAGAGAGAGAGGGAGAGAAAACTGACCGCAGGCAGAAATGTACTGCACTGCATCTACTGGTGGCTGGAAAGGACCACAGAAACTATCTGGCCCCACCATCCCCAGGAACTTGAGGACCAGAGGGCAGATGCCTCCTAGCAATGTCCGGCTCGCCAGCATGTACGTCTGCATGCATGTACATGTGCACATATATATGTGTGTATTTAGAGACAAGGTCTTACTATGCAGTCCAGAAAGACTTCTCTTTCAGCCTCCTGAGTGCTGGGATCACAGGTACCACCTGCTCTTATTTACTGAGAGCTGAAGAAAGGTGCTATGCTTTTCAAGAAAAGTTTGAATTCTATATATATAGCGTGCATCTACTCTTACGTAAAAACGCTAAACAAAGAACTGCAACTCATCTGGGAACTCAGAAGACAATCCTGATCATGACTGAGACACACAGAAATCACCAGTTCAACTGTTCCCCTTGTTTCACAAAAGGGGAAACAGTGGCAGGCTAGGGGTCTGCCCTGGGACAGAATAAGGCTAGGACTGAGGTCTGCTGTCCTAATTGTCTTCCCGCTTGCATGCACACACATGCACCCATGCACAGAGACAGTCTATGTGTATTACCTTCCTTGCACCTGGAAGACTAAGTTACAACCGTAGGTGTCCAGGTGACAGGGGGTATGTGCACCCAGGGAGCCGATCCACAGTGTACTTTCCTGGCCATCTCTTCCAGGAAACCCGAAGTCAGACCACAGCACGTCCTGTTTTAGAATAAAGTAACAGTCCATCAGGAACCAGTGAGCTCCTTCCTCTGTATAGAAATCTTGTACGTTTTCCCTTGCACATCTGGTGCTGGCATTTGGGATGTTCTGTAACAGGAAATGCTACAAATAGAGAAGGTGAGCTTTCCAGGGCAGGTGTAAGAAATCATTGGACCAACAGCATATGTAAATAACCTCACTAATAGTAGTCATCCAACAAATATTTACTGGCTACTTAACACATGCCAGAATCTGTTGTAGATTAATGGATAAAACAATAATAAAAAAACACCCACCTAGATGAAGCCTCCATCTACTAGGGACAGACAATTATGCAGCTATTGGGAGAAAAGTACCTATGGCAGCAGGAACAGAGCACAGGAAATCTTTCTGAAGCTCATCTTAGGAAGTCAGAAAGTGATGGTCCCTTTAAGCAGAGCCCGTATTTATGGACATAAGCATCTTGTTAACCTTTTGTAGCTCAATGACCACATAAAAAAGTCCTCGCTAGCCAGTCACGGCACTGCACACCTGTGATCCCAGCACTCTGGGAGGCTGAGATGGGAGGATCACAAGTTTGAGCCTTGCCTGGATATTTTACCAAAACCATCTCGAAATAAAAACTAAGGGACAGAGATGTAAGCAGTTCAATCCCCAGTACCACAAGCGCACACACACACACACACACACACACACACACAGAGGTACACCCTCTCCTGTTGTGCCTGTACCTACCAAAGCAGGTGGGGCAACACAACATAGCCCTGAGATCCACAGACCCCCTCCCAGTATGAACTCTGTATAGTTTAATGAACTTTAGCACAGACACAGCACAGAGCTTTGGACCTGGACTCTCCTTACACTTGCTTTGGTTCTCAGATCTTGCCCAAGTCCACTTCTAGGGAAAACATACACTTAGAATTCAATACTGTCTCTTGTAGTTCAGGAAAAAAAGGTCAGACATAAACCCAAATCCACAGGATTAAAAATACAAGCTATAAAAGAAAACATACTAACAATCCAGGTATGAGGTCACTGCTATTTTTTTTTTCCTAGTACCAGGGATTGAATTTAGGACCTTGTGCTTGTTAAGACAGACATGGTGCCACTGAGTTAAATCCCCAGCCCTCATTTTTTTAATCATTAATTTTCCCTTTGAGTTTTAAAAAAACAAAGGCATTTCTATGTGCAGTCTTAAATGATGCTACTTTTTGTTTGTTTGTTTTGAGATAGGGTCTCCCTATGTAGTTCAGGCTGTCCTTGAACTATGTAGCCCAGACTGGTCTTGAACTTATGGTGACCTTCCTGCCTCAGCCTCCCAAGTGAAGGAATTACAGGCATGCACTACAACACTTGGCGCAACACTTTTATTGATATCTGCAATTCAAATTTTCTATATTCTAAAGGTAAACCATTTACAGCTATATTCAGTGAGAAAGAGGATTTTAGTGAGGAACTTAATGGAGGGTTCTGTAGAAGTGCAGAAAGAGCATTTTTGTTTTGTTTTGAGTGATGCATGTAGCTGCGCCTGGCTGTCTGTAATAGCGGGAGAGTTTCTGCAAGACCAGCACCATTCTATACGCACAAGGATCACATGTGGCTGCTCAGAGGCGGCAAAATCATGCTCCCTCTGGATACAGCTCATAAACTCCAGGAGGGGATCTCGCCTCTGTATTCTGGATGCCTAATACAGCACCTGGCTGAGGGACAGTGCTGGAAATGTACCGGCTGCTTATGAGGAAGCAGTCCTGCTGACATCCCAGGAGTAAAGGATTCAAGTCACTAACACCTCTGAGCACCCACCATACTCAAAATGCTGGGTGCTGGGAATATAAATATCAGTATAATGTAATACACATGGCCCCATTAACAGAACCTTTCAGTGTAACACAGCAAGCGCTTTGACCAATGCAGGCAGAGGATGCTCTAAGATCAAGCAGAGGCAGGGAGCTCGGGGGAACCCTCCAATTAGGCTGCCTTGAACAATTTACCACCCCTCTATCTGAGGAATTTAACTATAAGCAGCTAAGAGACAGTATTTTTTAAAAGAGAGAAAAGAGATATGGTACCTTAACTAAGATTGTTTACATGATTCTTAACCTGGAACACACACCCCACTTGGGAATCCAATGATGCCAATGCCCCCTCCTCAGAGAAAAGCACACGCAGGACTTCACAAACACTTCAGGGAGCTGACTGAAGACCCCAGGCAGAAGACCCTGCCTAAAGGCCCACTTCAGAAAGCCCAGAAGGCAGGTCTTCCTACAAGGCAGGGGCTACTGTATGAGAAAGTGAGGAGCAGCCGGGGACCTCTTACCTGGCACAGCAATGGTGTTAAAAAAGCAAAAATTATTTTGTAATGATTAGATCATGGTGATCTAATAGGAAAACCAAAATGGGGAGTAGGCAGAATAAAAAAAAAAGTCACAAAGTAGGCATAGCATTTAATGTTCCTATTTTGTTTGGATCTTCTTCCCAATTAAGTTCGGCTCCTTATGTGTGGTTCAATGTCTGAATTCAAAGCAGGCCCGGGGGAATCTTTTTTGAGTCCTGCTACAATTAGGGCACCCTATTTGACTGCCCTAGTAGTGAAAACACAAGGGTGGATGGTGGAGTGACCCACCAGGGAGTCTACTCTCACATCCAATAGAGAAGTCTTTAGAAGTTGTCTCTCCCCAGGAAATACACCATCCTGAAAAAGAGCAATTAAGTATCTAATTGATTGCTTACTACAAACCAGTATGTTTTCTTATACTTTAAGATGATCTAAAATCTATAGATATATGAGAATGAGCTTAGTTTTTCTACCAATATGTGCTATCTTTATATGGAAAACTGTTTTGCTACTTTTTAATTTTTTAACCTAGACTTGGTTCTCTTTACTTCCCTTTGTCAATGTCCCTAACCTAAGCCCTTAGCACATGGACTGCACCCTCCGAGGCCAGAACTCTGTACTCCGTACGGTTGATGCAATGTCACACAGCACTTTCATTTTTAAGCAACTGAATTATACTGAGGCTCACATTGGGCCAACCCATTCTTTTCTTTTGGACAACTTATCCATGTCCCTAGCCTTCCTCAACTTTTAGGATTTTACGAAATGACCAAGAGATACTACACTCATCCCTCTTTAATCTTCTTTTTTCTTTTTGGTACTGGGGACTGAACTCAGGATCTTGCACTTTCGAGGCAGGCGGTGGCCCCGTTACTCTTTACTCTTGTGATTAAGTTTTTATTTTCTTTTTGGTACCAGGGATGGAACTCAAGACCTTGCGCTTGTGAGGCATGTAGTGGCACCACTGAGCTAAATCCTAGCTCTAATCTTGTTAATTTCTGTGTGATGTTCGACAATGTTTAGATCAACCTCTCACATAACATCCAAATGTTTATTTCCAGCTATAATTTCTCTCCAATTCACAGCTAAACTTGCATTCGATTGCTGACAAGTTATCTAATCCTTAAAGTAGGCCAAGCCCCGATCCTAACATTTATGTACTGTCTTATTTAATCTTTATGAAACTGAAGGTAGTTGCATCCTTTTATATCATTGGGAAACTAAGAATAGTATTGTTTTGTTTTACTTTAATACTGAGAATTTAACCCAGGGCCTTGTAGACTAGGTAAGCACTCTACCACGGAGCTACAATTTTGAGCCTTTTTGAAATAAGGTCTTGTTAAGCTTCCCATGCTGTCCTTGAACTTATGATCCTTCTCCCTCAGCCTCCTGAGTAGCTGGAATTACAGACCTGTACCACCCCACCTGGCAGTACACCTTTCTGATGTTGCTGCAAAACTGTAGACATATGTCTAGTTGTCATGAATCAGGGGAGAGGTTGTCACTGCCATCAAGTGCATGGGGGCCAAGGACGCAGTTCAACACAACAAAGAGATCCTGCATCTCGCATGTTGGTTTTTTTTTTTTTTTTGGTACCAGGGACAGAACTCTAGTCCTTGTGCTTGTGAGGTAGGTAGGAAGCAGCACCACTAACCTAATTCCCCGGCCCTCTCGCAGTTTTCATAATGCTGAAAAATCTGATTTTCATTACCAGATACCAGAACTCTATTTCACAAATGATCAAATAATTTTGGGGGCAGGGCATAGTTTTACTATGTGTTGAATTTTCCAGAAATCTAAGTACTAAATAAAGGGAGAATTGTACTTTGTGTGTTGTAACAGAGTTGTTTACTATTTTGAAAAATAGTACTAGTACAAACTGTGACATTTGGGTCAGTCCAATGTACACTGGTACACTCCGGGTATCACCTCACTATGGTAATATGCCACCTGGTTATATACAAATATGCCCTTTTAGTTATCATTTCAATGTATCAAATGTTACAAAGCATTAATGGAATGAATCTTGGCTCTTTTACACAGAACCTATTCCTCAAAGGCAGGTAGAACTTCTGATTAGTTCATTTTTATCTTCTAGTGTAGCCATGAAATGAGTGAGTACCCAGTAAAACACTTATTTGCTTCATTTCTCGTGTATTTTACAGAAAGGCATTTTTTTTTTTTTTTTTGAAATAGGGTCTCACTATGCAGTTCAGGCTGACCTTGAACTCACTATGTAGCTGAGACTGGCCTTGAACTTGCAGTGATCCTCCTGCGTCAGCCTCCCAAGAGCTGGGATTATAGGTGTGCATCACCACACCTGGTCCATTTTAATAGTTTTTAAAGATCACAGGTGAGGGTAATTATATTACTTGCACATTACCTTTCTGGACAGATCCGAGAACCACTGTGATACTATTTCTATAAGTGGCCACTTTCCTCCCTGTGTTTGGTCCCACCATTCCCTCTGCCTCACTGGTCTTTTCCCACCCAAATCCTCCCAAGTCCCATTCAAATACCTTTCTCAAGACTCAACTTAAATATGACTTCTTTTGAGCCCTTTCACTCCTCTTCATGCCAAGCCAGTCACTGTCTCTGCTGGATTCCCAATAAACAGAACAGTCTTTGGGGTTGGGGGGGCGGGGTCTTGAACTCACTGAGACAC